TTCTCCACCGCCGCCGCCGCCACCGACCGCAACGTCGTCACGTATAGGGATGCAATTCCAGAGCTCTATTAATAACTGAGGCGAGGCACGAATTAGGCGCAGATCACGCGAGAATAGAATCGACCGAGATCCGCGGTAGGTCCTGCGAACGCGAAGGGGGGGAGGGGGTGGTGGTAGCGCAGCAGGCGGGTGTTCTCCCCTGCGAACCTCCGTCGTACACACACGTGTGCACGTGCGTGCGTACGTACGCGGGGATTGCGACGTGTTGCGCGCCCATGCGAAACACACACGGCCAGACGCGGCGAGGGTAATACGGTACAGCCACGCGTTGCCGCTGGACGGTCCACTGGCGGGAGTTTCTCTAATTATTCAGAATATGGGGCGGATCTGCGAACGGATGGTCGCGCGATAAGGATGATTTCCTGGGAGACGCCGGGGAACGATACCGTCCCGTATCACCCGCGCAATCGCGAGGGTTTATTATTATCGTGCGGTCCTCTCCTCGTAGCCTCCTTTGCATTTTTACGAATTCAGGCCCGCTGCGACGGAGAACGTCTTGATAAAGCCGTACCCGGCCCCGGCACGCGAAGCGTATCGTCGGGGCGACGTATTTTCCATAGAGGCGCTGTATCTACGCGGAGAGAGAGAATTCTCTCTGAAAATTTACCCTGGAAATCGCGTAATCGTGGGACGTGGGGCGTTTTGAAGAGCTTTATGATAGTTTTTGAAAATTTTACCATACATTTTACTAGTAAAACGCGTACTAAGTATAATCGCTACACTCTAAGAAATGTGGACGTGAATTCTCACCAGGGTTGTGAAATAAACGCCCGTTCAGGTGTTTATATAATTCTCATCTTATCGATGAAATTAATATTGCTTGGTTAGCGTGGAAAATTCACATTGCTGCGGAGACATTACACTACTCGGTGGTGTGATTTTTACATCAAGTATGGTGTTACACATACGATCGCACCGTGAAAATAAAACAACGCAGCATCAAAGTTGACACCGCGTTTGTCGGTGTGAAAGATTTTCTACAATATCGATGTTAAAATTCGCACCGACTCATTTAACCTACGTGAATGTGGTGAAAGGTCACGCCACTATTTTTTAGAGTGCAGTAAAATGTATGGTAAAGTTTCCAAACACTCTCATGAAATTCTTGTAAATGCCATGCTGTCCCGCAACCATTTTCAGGATAAATTTTCAGAGAAAATTCTCCCCACGTACCGTTCTTTATTCACGAGCAGCTTTTTATTACGCCATATTGCTCAACTCAATGCTGTAATTTTCATTTCGTCGAGATTAAACGGAAACACACATGTACACACACACACACACACACACAGAGGCTAATAGCAAATTATTAATATATTATATTCGCTTAACAGCGTTATTGTAATAGCATTATATTATAATGCTATTATTATAATAGCCTTATTGTAATATAGCAACGCATTGTCGCTTTATTTTACCAGCCGCAAATTTTCTATGGCTATCCGTCTTCCAATTTTAGACCGTTTTCAAGAAAATGGAACTTCGAGGGAAGGGAAATATTGCAAAATGCGAGTCGGTAATGGCAAATGGGGAGATCGAAGGAAGGAAATACCTGGCTGCGAATGGCCTGAAATGAAATCTGGTTTGATAAACGCCGTTTCGAGGACAATGAGTGACGTAAGCCGCCTCTCTCGCAACGATGGCGATTCTCTTTTCACGGGAAACAATCGGCCCGGCGCGAAATTTGACTTACTGTCGGTGTCGTAGCTCGATTGAAGCTTGAAATGAGCGCAATCCTTGCTCTGCTCGCAATAGCTATTGAAAACGAGAACCTCCTTGTTCGAGAGCTTCAGCTCGCCCACAACAGCCACCGGATCGAACTTGGCGTTCAGGACGATTACCACGCCGGACTCGCCGTCCTTCTCGCGGGTCAATTGCTGGCGAGTGTACTTGAAGGAGGAGCTCCTCGTGTCCTCGCCTACCTTGAGATTGCCACTTCCCTCGACGGTGATTTTGCCGGCCTCGTCGCGTTTCTTGTAGTTTGTGCTGCGAACAAATCACAATCTCATCGCATCCGTATATTCCTTTCGTTCGCGCATCGCGCCGCACCGCTCCCCTCGCGTTGTTCCATTTGAAATTTCAATATCTCCCCAACTCTTTTTTTGTGAAATTGCGTTTACACAGGAGGGACTATACGCATCTCCGCAGGATATGAAATAAACTTCTGTCCCACGTACTAAACGCCGAGCAGAATTGCCCCCGCGTCGTTCCCGTTTATTTGATCGTTCTCTCATTCGAATAATACGCCGATACATTTTTTATTAAGCCACGGCGGTTTGTAGTGCTTTTTATAATGCCGTGCGATCGATAATACTCTACATTTTCGGCGGAACCGCTTAAACCCCTTTTTACGTTTTACGATTCGATCGGGGCGATTTCGATGGGACGCGAATAAAAAGGACTGGCAGTTGGAATGTATTCTCGGAAACCACTTGAATTAATTTTAGCGGGCGAATCGATGAAATTACATAGCGGGACGAGCGGAGATACGGCTTCTGCCGTATCTCTGATCTCCTTTGAAAACGACCTCGCGTCCTTTTGTTAATTACGCGAAGACATCTCTCGCTCTTTGTTTTATCGCCGCGTAGACGAATCGATCCTTCGCGTACGCGCAAGAGATGTATATCCACGTTACCGTCAGAATACATACCGTTTAGAATTATCGCGCGAGTATCGACCTTAGCAGAAGTGACAGGATCGCTAATGGGAGCCAGGACTGTCAAGAAAGCGAATTGTAGACGTTTCGTGCGGCCTCGTCTTCGCGCGCGACAAAAGTATATGTCATTTTCTCGTCCGGGCTATTATTAGTCTCATTACCAACGTTAGGATACGACGTGCGATCATTGCTTCGGATTGTTGTGCGAATTGATCCGCGCTCTTTATCGTTTGTACTTCTTCTTCTTCTTATTTATATGGCATCTGCCTTCTTTAGAGGAACAATGCGGCCAGAAACAAATTCAGAAAAAAGGGATTGAATCAATATTAGGCGAACGGACACATTTATGGTAAACAAATTCCTCCCTTCTGGGTCGGTCTCGTCACTCTGAGGCCGGTATTCATAGTCCGTTCCTATATTTCAGATCATCTTAAGATCTACACACTCTTAATGTGTTTTTAACCAATCACAGAGCCGTATTAGCCTCTTAAGACAACACTTAAGATGATTTTGAAATAAGAATCGACTATGAATACCGGCCTAAGTCGCAATCACGCGTCCCCGACCGACTTTTCCAGACTCATATTATCGAAGGCCCGAACACACGAAAACACTTGGGCAATTTCAACCAATCAGAATTTTGAACATTGCTTAAGTCATTGGTCATTTCCAGGGTTGGAAAGTTACTTTATAAAAGTAACTAGTTACAGTTACAGTTTCTTCGCTAACAATGTAACTAGTTACAGTTACAAGTTACCAATTCTGAAAAGTAACGCGTTACAGTTACAGTTACTCGAAAAGTAACGAATCGTTACTGTGCAGTTACTCCCTTGCGATGAAAGTAAAAACATAAAATCTGCATTTGAATTGTAGAGCGTCGATAAAGGCGTTTATGCGCAAACGCAAGGCCTAATGCGATCTGTCGAGGTTTAAAAAAAAATATATATATAAAGTAACTGTTAATGTAACTATTAAGTTAGTTACTAGTTATCGAGAAAATGTAACTGAGTTAAGTTACAGTTACAGATGTAGAGAAAGTAACGAAGTTAAGCTAGAGTTACCAAAAAGAAGTAACTGTAACTTCGTTACAAGTACTTCCCGAGTTACTTCCCAACCCTGGTCATTTCCCTTAAGTCTTAAGTTTTACCGCTTAAATTTTTTCGTGCACTCGCGCTTTGAGACGCAGCGTACCTCCCGGTTACGATGTTTTTACCGTCGCTGGTGACGGTGATGACTATTCGCCTGCCAGCCTTGGCCGTAGGCTTGTTAGCGATTTCGGCGTGCAGCTTACGATGCTTGAGCTTGTCGCTGTCCAAATTAACGTTAATGTCGAAGTTGTCGATGCTCTCCAGATTGACGTGCGCGTCGGCAACGGCGAAGCCCTTTGGCGTTTCGATCTTCCACTCGCCTAAAAACGAATTTAAGTTGGCGCATCTTTGAAAAAGTGCACATAGGCGGTTTTATTTTTCTAATTAATAATATATATTTGCCTTTAAAGGAAAAGACACAAAGCCGATAATGTGATAAGATTTTGCTCGAATCCGAAGTTACCTGTGTATTCTTGGTCGCCAAGCTTGTTGAATTTGGAGAGCAACTCGGTTTTGCCTTTTGGGGAAGTGAAAATGACGTGCATCATCGGAGAGACGTTGCTTTCTCGAATTTCACTATTGAGGGTATACTTTGTACCGTCCATGGTCAAGGCTGCGTCGGTTTTCCTTACGTGCCCGTCCTTTTCTCTCTTCAAAGATAAATAGAGGAAAAATTAGATGCGCGTGATAGATAGACAGTGTCATCCTTGCGGGCAATCTCGTCGTCGGGCGCCGTAAACTTTATTTCGTCTTTAAACAGCACGCTGCTTACGTCACCAGCGGTAAACTATTATAAATGACGCAGCATGGGGTGTATAGCGGGACAGTAATATCTGACCGGAATAATCCTGACATATCTGCACACTATCCAGTTAGGGGATCGTAATCAATGAGGCGCGAGGGATCTCGGTTTAGATCTTAGGTGGGAAATTTTCTAATACAAAGAATAATGAACAGCGCTGTAAAGCGATACCTTGTGCTTGAGTTCAAGGTCCATATTACGCAGCTTCTCGTACGGGGTGGTGGCCTTGGCCTTTAGGTCGATGTGCGTCAAGTCGCGATTATACGTTACAGGGCCGAGTGCGAGGGACAGCTCCTTCTGGTCTTGTTTAATGATCATGTTGGCATTGAACGTCGCTTCGTCGCCTTTGGGTTCGAACTTGAAATGATCGTGGAGAGTGATAGGCGGCTGCTTGAGAGCGGTCAGCTCGAGTTGCAGATCGCTCTCGTAAGGATGCTCGCCGTCGTCATTGCCAGTGCTCTTGAAGGCGCCCACGAGCTTGGCAGATTTGTCGTCGTTGTAAGTGAGCACCGTCGTTCCCTTCAGATCGACAACATCGGCCGCCTCCTGGATCAGGAGATCGTGCGCGTAGTCGAGTTTGACGTTTCGCAGTTTTTCCGATGGCAGTATCAGCTCCACGTCGCCTTTGATCTTGTGGGGCTTGTCAATATCATCGCCGATGACGATATGTCCGGAACACTGCGAATAATAAGATACGTTAACGCACCTAGTTTTATAGACACGCCTGTATCCAAGAGAGATATCAAAAGAATTATCACGCTTACCTTCAGCTGGAGGTCCTTGCCATAGGAAGAAGCGCCTTTGTAGGACACTTCATTATCGCGTTCGTTCTCTTCGTAATTCAGATGGAATGGTTTCGGTAGATGCGATCCCGAAAGATCCAGGGTGATCCCTTGCACTTCTTTGTAGCCGTCGGTGTCAACGAGATTCTTGAGTTTCAAATTGAGCTGTTCGTTGTCGCCGTTGAAGTTGACGATTTTGAGTTGATGGTCGATCAGGAACGTGCTCGCTTTGAAATCGACTTGCTCGGCTTTTCCAGTAAGCGTAATTTTTCGCGATTTGCCGCCTTTAGACTCGTGGTCTTCAAGCTCGAGGTTTCCGTCAATTTCGTACTTATCCTTATTCTTTTTGGACGTACGCTTCAAATTGCCGGTCAGGTAACGACCGTTCGGCAGAGTGAGGTCCCCTTCAACGGTCAATTCGCCTTCGTGTATGTTCTCGCCATTCAACTTGCCCTTGCCATTCAGCTCGAATTTGTAGTTTATTATCTCGATCACGTTCTTCGTGTCGATCGCGTTCTTCTTTATGTCATTCGCAGTAGACAATTTGATGCGTTTGCTCGGGTCCTTTTCCGCATCGAGTAGAAGCTCAAAGTCGCCGTTGTGCTGCGAGCCGCTCACCATGAAGTCGCCGGTCCCCTTGATCTTCCGGTTGATCTTCGGCAAGTCAATGTTGAGCTGTGCGTTGCCCTTACCATTCTGGACCGACATCTGTCCCGTAACGTCCACGTAGTTCTTCACATTCAAAGTCAGACTGCCTTGAGGGTTCGCGCCCAATTGCTGCAGCTTCAACAGCAGGTCGACGTACTTGACGTCGTTGAAAATGACGTACGCGCTTGACTGAACGGTCTTAGGACGGTCGAGTAGCCAACTGACGAAAACTTTGGCCTTTTTGTCGTCCAGCTTCAGGTCACTGTCCAACTCAAACTTCTCGTTTTTCGTATTCTTGTTAAAATCACACATGATTGTTGTGTCGGCCTCGTATTTACCTCCCGGTACAATCTCGAGCTTGTGAATGTATTTGTTCTTGTGCTCGTCAACAGTCGAACGCTTGGTCTCGAATTTGATGCTGTTCTGCAAAAGTTCGGCATCGAATGCGACCTCGTAATCGCCCCCTTTGCTTTGCTCGGCGGATAGTTTAGAGCCGAACTTGAATTTATCGTAAGCGATCCCGATCTTGCCGTCGACGGAATTCGGTTTGGCCTTACCTTCGAGCTCTAATTTCAACTTCATGGCGGGATACGCGATCTTGGTGGAGCCACCCACGATGAAGTTCTGCCCGTCCTGGTTCGGTTTAGCGATAGCATGATGCTCGAGGCTGAAACGGTTTATCTTGGAGTTCGGATCCGGGCCGTGAATGAAGATCAGATTGTACTTGTACGCGAACGGTTCTTTGTGGATATCGGACTGGATATTAAACCCGATATTGGGATCCTTCGACGGCAATGCGGAGACGCTGATCGAGAAGAAATTATTGTCCTTTTTCTTCGCTTGCATCTTGAGATCGACGGATTCCCCGCCGTAATTCACCTTCATGTCCATGCCGGCGGCATTTTCTGCGGACTGAACGTAACCGTCGAGACCGACGACCTTCTGACCACCCGCGACGAAGGCTACCTTGTCGAATATGTACTTTTTGCCACCGTCATGATCGACCATCTCTACGGTACCTTGCACCTCGTATTGCTGACCGCCGGAGGGAGTCTTCAGCCCGGATTTTCCTGCCAATTTCTCGATATGCTCTGGTACCTTGTACTCCAAAATGGGCTTATACTTGGCACCGTTGGCCAAGAGACCGACGCGCCCGTAATACTCCTGGTTATCGTTGTGCGCGGTAATCGTAAGCGAGCGCTCTTGAGGTTCTTCTTTTATTACCGCTTCGATAGAGGCTTTCTTAAAGGGAGAATCGAAAGATAGTTTGGCGTGTTTATTGGGCTCGAGAGCGGCTTCACCAGAGAGAGACATGCGTCTGTCAGCTTTGCTGTTTGGCGTATCTAGTAAGATCTCAAACGACCTGGACTTGGGTGACTTGTCGTGGTAGAGCTTAAGACGGATTCTATCTAGATCGTTGAATTCCAAACTAACGCTGAAATGCGACGGACCGTTCAGTGGGAAGAGTGCTCTCTTCTGTACCGAGTCAATGCCGTCGTATGGGAATTCTACGTGGCCGCAAAGTGTTACGCCCATGACATTGGACAGCTGCTCGAAGCAGTCTTTGTATACTTTACTCTTGCCGAATTTGGCAGCTTTGTACGCATCGCCAGAACTAAACAGGACTTCGCTATCGACACTTATAACTTCTCTCTTTTTCGGCGTACCGATAGACATTTCGATACCTTTGCCGTCTAATAATTTCATCGTTGAATCTACCACCAAGTCAGTGTGTAACGTGCTGACTACTTTCATACCGGACTCTACGTCGAAGCCTTTGACGACCATTTTGCCAGCAATACGAACAGAGCCACCGATATCCCAGATAAGCTGTACGTCTGCGCTGTCTGGATTCTTTATGATAGCTGGAATATCCAAGCTGCCGGAGTTCCTCAATTTGGTCACGCTGGTACCGGTTACACCGACGGAGAGACCCATGCCGAGATTTGTCGGATAGACGACCTCTCCATCGAGGAACTGTATGTGATTTTGCAGAGTGTAATCGAATTTCTTCAACTTGTTCATCCCGCCCTCAAGGTTGTCAAATATCTTGTCGATGATGTGTTCCGGCGTAAACTGCGTGGGATTACCATCGTAAGTCAGGTAGGCTAATTCGACGCCGAACATCTTGACGGACAGGTCGTAATCAAACTGCTCGTCCACCTCGTTGTTCCTTAATTTCACACCTTTGGCGAATTTGTCGAGTTCTCCTTGCTTAACTTCACGCTTGCCGCGCAGTTTGTTGACCTTCCCTTTGATGTATTCAGCGATGTTCTTTGCATTGTCCACTCCCTTGTCCACCAGATCTTCTACTTCGTCCTGCGTCAAGCGGCCCTTGGGTCCGAAGTAATGCTCGAGCAGTCTGTCAAGATTCTCAACGCGCGTATTGACCTCTAAAAAGTTAAAAGCTCTCCCGAATATCTCGGTGGTCAAGTTTAGATTGATGGAGCGTGGCACAAAGCTATTCTGGCTGTAAATGCAATTGGCCTCTATAGTGGAACCGACACCAATACCACCCAGATTGTACGACAGTTCATCGTTGAAAGAAAATTTGCGGAAGTCCCTTGGGAATTTAGTTCGTCCCTTAATCTGACCGAGATGCTTTTGCATCGCAGCTTTGCTTGGATCAGCGGACGCTCGTAGATTACGCAAATGGATCTGCATGAAGGATCCAACTTGATTGCACGTTTCCTTGTCCAAAAGTTCTTTGATGCTACTTGCGACATGCGCGCAGGGACAGGCGACCAAAGACAGATAAGATTTGATTCTGATCTCGCTATCTTCCTCGCGATTGCCCAAAACTTTTAGGAGGTTACTCTTCCATTTCATGGAGCAGCGGGTAGGCAAAGCCTCGATCGCAGCTACCCTGACACGATTACGGGCGTTCTTGTCCTCGGCAATGCCTACCAATTTTTGCAGAGTGGCGTCATCAAGATACCGGGCGTTACCAAGCGCCTTTATAGCCGAAATCATGATATTCTCTTGTTCCCTGGTCTTCGCCTTCCCGTTGCCGACCTTCTCGCGAATTTTGTGGACGGCCTGCTTGACCTCGGCTACGTCCTCGCAAGTATGCTCTTGGCAGTACTTGCCGATCACCTGACCGATCCCAAGGTACCCGAGGCGCGGTACGTTTGGCTGATCGAGAAGAGACGTGACAGCGGTCACCGATGGTAGGTTCACGTGATTGACGAGAGCGAGACTCGCGTAGAACTTGAGCGCCTCGATGCCGGTAAGCTCGTGGCTCTTTAGTAGATCCACGACCACCTCCGCGGCCTCGCCACTTCCGGCGCGGAAGAGGGCGTCCAGGAAAATCTTCTTGTCCAGGGCTTTGTCGAAACCATTGCCGTTTTTCACTTTCTGGTAGATCGCGAGAATGTCGTTCTTGCTGCTGTGATGAAGGACTTTGACGAGATGTGCGAACTTTTCGGCCGCGTCATGCTTTATGCCGTCGTGCTCTTCGGCGCTCGCTGCCTTTAAGGCCGCGGCGATGCTGTCAGGCGACGATTTAACGACGGGATGCGGCGCTTCGAATATCAAGGACTTCGGCTGGGAAACCGGGGCGTCCGGGACATCACCCTTCTCACCCTTAAGCGTCATAGTGGTCTGCACGACGGTCTTAGCGCCTAGGTCTCCGTTTCTCCAGGCTTTCAATTTGTACGTCTCGACCGAGGTTACTTTGTTCAGGATACCGCGCTTGAAACGTTGTTCGACCTTCTGATGCCCCGACAGCAACGGGGCCGATTGGATGTCGGATTTCGCGTCATAGATCGCAGACACTGGACCGTTTCTGATATTCTCGCGATAGGCGCAACGGATCAGATCCTTCTCCTTGAGGACGACCAGCGACTCGCCATCTTTGTGGAAAGTAAAGTCAGTCGGACAGCCGCCGAGCACGTCGGTCTAAAAATATAGCGGACAACTCGTTATATTTTATATCGACATAATTCTCTACTGTAGTTGGGGCTTTAACGATCAATGAATTAGAATAAGACGGCTGTACCTCGTGATGAGTTGTAGAGCCAGATTCCTGCATGATAGCTGATTGGAACAAGGAAGCGACCGCTCTTTTGATGTTGAGGGACGCCTGCGAGTCACCGGCTTCGGTACAGATCTCCGTATCGATATGGCCATTGTGATAGTTGAGTTGTAGCGCGTACTTTTCAACATCTGGCAGCGATATTGGCTAAAAAGTAACATACGCATACTTTCACACGCTTGTACTCCCGGTATTCCGTTGCAATATGTGAAACAAATGTTATTTGCTATGTTCGTAACTTACGTAACGAAGGTAACAATGTAAAGTGTTAATGTCACAAAACTAAATTATAATACTTTAACATTTACGAATGATAGTAAATGTCATGTGCACATTTGTAATGGGATTGAACACAAATCACGTAAACTATCATAGATTAATTCCCGTTGAGAGCAGTCAATTAAAACTTTTTATTACGGGATTTCACTTAAGCGGAATTGGATTAAAAGTTCCGTGATATTTCTGAAAAAGGTCGAAATCACGCCTTCGGGCCTCATATTTCTGCTTTATTCCTACTTTGCTCCTTGACTGTGCACTTTTTGTATTTATAGCGCAGATATTTTAGGCATTATGCGATTTAAGATAAAGAGACACTTACGACTCCATTGATTTGTACATCCTTCAATCGAATCTGTCCAATGCAGTCAGGTTTTATTGTTGCTTCAACAGTACCTTTCAACTTCAAGGTAGCGTCATTCTGAGCGTCAGGGACAGTTGTTACAGATGTTCCTTCCAAATCGTAAATGTACGTGTGTCCTGCCTGATAGGCTTTATTGTCTATTTGCACTAAAAAAACGTCACACAAGAAGACACATAAGTTAAATCTGTCATGAAATTATGCACATGTAAAAAAATTTTGTAATCTCAATTTATTCAATGAGATAACGACTTTTCTGTCGTGGCTTATAAAGATATTATACTTACTTCCATGGCAGCCAACGTTACATTTACCTGTAACAAAAAAAAATCAAAAACTTATGTGTCAATTTCTAGTAATAATTTTTTAAATATGAGTATTTGGTATTAATTATGCCAACTGAAATAATACGAATTGCGCACGATACAAAGAATGGCAATTAATTATTTTCTCTTTTTTTTTTACTAATCAGAAATGTGTTGCGGAGTGATGTAACGAGGAGAATGATAAAAACGGAGTGCACATAATTTCTCCGTTCATTAACGTTAATTTTCGGATTTCGTCGGAAATCCGAAACTCAAGTGAAAAAAAAGAAACAAATATTTGGCCATAATCTATTATGCTTGACGCACAGATTACGTCGAAAAAAATATATTTATGCATCGAGTGAACTCGCTGCTGGGGTCGAATGTTGATAACGTGCTGTTAATCGTGACTTTCTTGACCCTGGACCATGGAACTTCCATTTTTGTTCGATAGAACGTGTCGGTGTCCGCGGACCGGCAGATTTAATGGTGTTCCACAATAGTTTCACCCTTTAACATTTAAATTGATTCGAACGAAGCCGAAGTGACTCTTTGAGCAGGAGCTATAAAAGGTAACGTATCAATCAATTGCAGTACCTGTAGTAATTTGACATTTACGTCACACTCTTTTTAGTTTGTCGAATCTTTTAATTTGCGCGAATTTTACATCGTACAAAAGGGCTATTTATAACATTTGTCTTTTTGTACTTGCTGTACATGTAATGCTTGACTTTTAACTAAAATGCGTGTATATATATATATTAAACATTAAATATTTTTCAAATGTCAGACATTACATTAATCATGTATTTTATCATAATATAGTATTAAACACATTATCTGGTTTCCATATTGCGAAGAATTATCAACAAGTACTTAATATTAATATTTGTTTCGCACTAGCTTTTATCTCCGATTTCACTTTATCTCGCTTATATTCAGAAAAATAACACCGATGGCAAAATTTATAGGCAAGCACAAACAAGACCTAACATGGTATAAATATAGTTAGCTCAATACAAAATCTTATCTTTTAACAGAATGTTGACCATATAATTTTATTCAATAGGATAAATAGGTTATATTCTATTAAGAGCCGATTAGTTCATCTTACTTGTGATATAATCTTCTTATCATCTTATTTTCCAAGTAAAAGGCAAGTTACTAAGTCAATAATATGAAGAAATAACGGATGCCATTAAGCTATGGCGGAAGTTTAAAGTTCACGAACTACGTCTATCACGAAAACATTAATATCAATATTATACTATATTATATTATACTAGCTGTATAATATACTTTTTATTTCGCAATTAGTATCATACAAATCTCGATAACTAAGGAGAGAATAATATCGTACAATATAAAAATATGTAAAAATATTATTTACGTCTTACGATATTTATTCCGTCTGCAGATAAGTTTTTGCAGAGAGGAATATATTAACTTCAGTATATCTGTACAATTGCACAAATATAATCAAATTTATACTTGTTTTACTGTATCGTACTTACTATTTTCTTTAAATTCTATTTCTTGAGATTTTTTTTCTGTTGGAATTAACGAGCAAAGTTATCTACTTTTCTTTGCGACTAATATACATACATACATGCACATCTAATGACAGATACGAGCCGGAATAAATATTATTCAATATCATATCAAGATTAATGGAGGCAAAAACAAGAGGGCACAAAAAATTGTACTTTGCACCGAGGAGAGTTGCATAATTATTTGCTCGACGAAAACATTGAGTATAATTAATTTGCATTTTGGCAGAAATTATCTACGAAAATAGAGCAAATAGCGAAAAACAAAACCGAAAGCGATTTACAAGTTGCGCAATCGTATCCATAAGAGTTACACACAGACAATTAGCGTTTTCCGTTGAAGCGATCGAAGTTTCTCGCAGCGGAAGCAGTTAAATCTAATCCTCGCAATTTATATTCAGCTAGAAACGTGTGGGCACAAAGAGGACCTACTAGGAATATCCTATTGACGCAGAGAAAGGGCGTAAGATAATTCTTTTACGAACAAATCGGAAAAGTAATTTTTTCTCGAAGAATAATGCGACCAAAGACGTAATAAATAATATCCAGATTGCACTTTATTTAGACGATGATGACGTAAGAAATAGGATAGAGAGAGGGGAGGGGAGAAATAATAAAATAACAGTGACCGAATAAATGAAGAGAAAAAGAGATAGATGAGGTGCAACGAGAGAAAGGGGAAGCGTTCCTTCAATGGGGACAAAGGTACAACAAAGGGATAAAGAACGACGCGTGCGAAAAGAGGAGGAGGAGGCGATGGAGAAAAGTGGGAGTCTCCTCGCGCGCGAGAATAGACCAAAAGGACAGAATCTATTCGGTGAAGATGTACATTGTTTCTCTACAATAATGCTGCGATCAATCTCCTTCCCCTAATCATCGTCACTTTGACGATAATCTACGAGCTCGAAATATACTGTATTCATGCGGCGATTTCTCTCTATAGTAATAAAATCCTCGGAATTTCACGGGTTTATCCGCCGGCACGACGACGGTGCGACGAAGCAATTCCTTTGAAGTTGTATTAACACTTTTATTTCTCTCAATTGCGCTCTCTATCTTTCACTTTTCTGTATTATTTACCCTTTGATTCGGAATCGACTTTTCCGAGCGACAAACAAGATATTTATAGGAACGCTTGATTATTTTTAGATATAATCAATTCAACATTTCGTAAATTATTCCGTTAGATACAGATAAGGTAAATTTATTTCGTCTTTATATTTAGATGGATTTTACTGAAATTTTCCGTTTAAAGCTTAGTGACCGAAAAAATGCTCGGTGTCGACATTTAATTAACAACTTTTGTCGAAATTTTCTCTCGGCAAAGCCAACTTAAAATTATTATGCCGCAAAATGCGCAGAACATAATTCGTCGATCAAATTTATAGTCACGCTCTTCAAAATGCTATTTATTTCGTTGACTGAATAATGTAACAGATGTACACAACATGAAATATACCGGCGTGCTTGGAGAGAGAGAAAGAGAAAAAGAGAGAGAGGAGAGAGAGAGGGGGGGGGAGAAATTTTACTGTAATCTAACAATTGCAACCATAATTTCTCGCGTTGCTTGCTCCCCGATGCGCGCTGCATGATTAGAGGCGCTCCGTTCTCGTTATATTACCTAAACGTATGCATTATGCAAATTCGCTGCGAACGACAGAGAGCGTCCACTTTCATATTTCATGCTCAGGGGCGCCGTATCTTTCTCGCATTATTTCACGGCGCGGTTTAAACGTCGATCTTTCTCCTCGATGAACCCGCATTCTCTGCTCGTATTTTTAACCCGACAATCGCACTTCCATTTCTCGTATACACAGGCGCGCCATTGTAATCATTTATCACGGAATTTAATGCGCCTTCAATGGCCGTCGAGAGACTCGATATAACGGAGAGATGTTACGTTTGAAGGGATATTTATATGGGGGGGGGGGGGAGGAGAGGAAAAAAGTACAATACTCTCGCGCGCGGCATTGTCTCTCTATTTTCCGCGGCGTTTCGGGAAATACGGCGACCGCGTAGCCGAGGCAATTGGAAAAACGTATCGCGCCGACAGAAAGCGACGATCGCAATCGGAAAACGCCGGCTCCCGCGATGCCATTTCGCTCGGGAGAGCGAACCGACACGATGCTCCGGCATCGTTTATATACCGCTCCCTTTAACGTACTTTAAAACGCGCCGGTGAAAGAACGTTTGTTACGTCGCAACGGTCAGATCGGATCTATTTTACTGGGATGTAGGGACGTCAGATCAATTTACCAAATGTCCGGTCGAACACGGGGGACCTGTAATCGTTTCAATGATACGGACCTCGTTCCGAGCACCGATACGCCATATACGCGAACTCTTTAGCCAACTATTTCGTTACTTCTAGAACGCGCGAGGGAACTCCGGGGTTCGCCACGCTCGGGGTTCCACGCTCCTTCCGCGGGCTTAATTGCTTGCCATCATTAAGTTCGAACCGCGCGCTTGAACCGCGGGTGATATTGATTACCGAGCCCCGTCGTTTCATGCTCATTTTCGAGCCGATAATTTACCCGCGTGCGAAACAAATAAAGGGAAACGCATTCACGACTGCCATTGATTTTACATTCAACGCGAGTTGAATGCGAGTAACAGCATTCTGCGGAGTCTCGCATTCACGATGGGGATTCTTTTTTTTTTGTAAAGGGATCATAAGTGGTCATTGTATCTGTTTTAGCGTGCATGTATTATACGTTAACGCACGTGATCACTCGAGATTAGCGCGAACACAATACCGCGATCGAAGGAAGAAATATAGAGGCACGATAAAGCGTTATCAACGCTAGAGCGATACACGGGGGAGAGAAAGGGGAGGAGGGTGAGTAGGTTCCTCGTATCGTTTAAGAGCAAAAACATAAAATCGACTATTATAGAGTTTTATCGCCGCAGGCTTCTCCCCTGCCGGATGGGACAATAATACGTGAACCAATTCGTACATTATAAACTTTTGTTCGCGCGCGCGCGATACACGGGTGAATTTTGCAACTGAGCGCGTGCCTTTCTCGTTATTTATAAAAATAAACGCGCCCTGGCTAAAGAGAATCCCATTCCATTCCATTACTTACTCCGCTGCAATTTCGCGGAAAATTGAAGAACCGATTTTTCTGTATATACCTACAACTACCCTCCACAAATTACTCCACTGGTCGTTACGCTTTGCTTGAAACATAATTCAACTTGGAACATTCTTGTTTGTTAATGGAAGCCTCCGGCATTCTCTTCCTTTACCCCGGCGTTGTAATCGAAAGAACAATTTTCTTTAATCTTCCTCCAGTAATAAGAAAGCATTAAACACGCTCGCCGATAAAAACTTGTATACTTCATTCACAAGCATAAAGGAGGCCCGCGCGCGGAGTCGACTTTAATTATTAATTAAAATCTAAAATAAAATGCAATTTAACGTCGAATGGGAAATTATATGTCGATAACGCGAATAAAATCACGCCAAGGAATGAATTGCTGCCGCTAAAGACGAGCGAGGCTTTCGCGCAGAGAGACTAATACTTTTCCCTCGCCGTTACGAGGGAGATTAAGATGAATTTAATGCCGTGTTCGAGATAAGTACGTCACGACGGCTACGTCAAAGATAAATTCTTCTAAAGAAGAATTGTAACGAATGAATGTACAAAGAAGAGGCATTTCGTTGTCCGCGGTCTCTCGCGTTAATCGTTAATGGTACAATAGCGCGGAGAGAGCCCCTGCGAATCTTTCGGGATTCTGTAGTTCGCGAAGATATCAGCGATTTCGACATCCATACGCGACGATAATCTCTATCCTTGACACAGCGAGTAACCTCATGATATTCAAACCTGACCGCGCCGAGCGCGTTGACCCTTTCTATCAACACTCGCGCATTAATCTTTAATTTGATAGAAAAATTAAGACTCATCGAAGTCATCCGGTCTTCTCGAAAGGTCCGCGAGGGAGAACGTAGTTTAAATCTTCGTATCCGAGTGTCGGGACGCAGCTTTACGAGCTCCTTTAGGAATATCAATAATTTAACTATGACGTTACATCGCAACGTGAAATACGAATAAAATACTAACGTATATGCGGAATGTATGTAAGTGAGAATTGATATCGAGGTAGAATGCTGGCTATTTGAAAGAATGAGACCTCGTACATTAATTATGTATTTTAAACGTATCGCGACAATTTCTTTTATTCAACGCTCCATCCAAAATAAATATTTCATTTGTCTACTTTTTTTTATCGTCCACCTTGGAAAACTTGGAGTAAGAAACGTGCGTATAGACATATTGCTGTGTAATTCGCGCGTAAACAGAAGAGATTCTTTCCTCTGGTTCCGCACGAGACGCGCGAACGTTCAGTTTATTCTGTTTCCCGTTTCAAGTATTCGATAAAGATATAAAAGTGAGCTAAAACGCAAAACTCTTGCATTCTCTTCTCAGTAGAATCTAATACTCTTTATGTGTCGCCTTATACATATTTGCTCTCGATACATTTACTTAGCTCGCTCCAATACGCATCCTTTCCACCGAGGAAAGTTTTCTATTTAGGAGAAGTCGGAATCGGTAATCTGCCTCGGTCTTACAAACTTTTGCGCTTCTGCTGATGATCGAAGAATAGAAAGAAGAGCGAATGCGCGGATGCAACGGCCGTTGGGGTTGCATTCAGCCCTCTATATAGGGGCGGAGGGAGGGGGGTAGGTAGGTCATGAAGTACCGGGGTACTTTGCAGCAAGGGGACGAGCGACGAGGCGCATTTTCCGCTTTACTTACTGCCTGAGGCGTCGACCGCCAGGAAGAGAAGGAGACAGCCGGCGAAGACGGCCGCCCTCGCGAGCCCCATGGCTTTCTCTCCCCGAGTACCGCAAACTACTTTAGCACTACTCTCGCACAATCAGCGGTGACACGATCGGCGGCCACGGGCGAACACGACAAAAGCGTCTGCGCTTTTCTTCGTGCGTGCTTTTATGCTCTCGCAGCTCCCCACCCGCGCTTATAAATCTTTCCTATGCATGTTGGGCCACATACGTACATATGTCCGCTCTCCGGGCCGGGGGCTCTGTCACCACCACCGCGACGCAGGAGATAAAGAGATCCATCTCTACTAAGAAGAGGCGAGCGCTGACGCGGAAAGACGACTTATCGAAATTTTCCTAGCCCCTATGGTAGATTAGATGGACCTCTGTAATGAACCTTGCCTAGATGCACCCGCTCGACGTTATCCCTTATAGGATACGGTTTATCATGGAAAAGTTGTTTCCTGTTACCGCCCCTTCCCGCGACTGCGTCAAATATACGACAGTTGAGTACTGTGCACTCTATTGTTGATATATTATTATACTATTGTTACTGTATACGTTTATATTAAATATATAAATAAAATAGAAATATATCGTTTCCTCGTATTTTCTCAGCGCAAAGCCGAATTTACAAAAAGGACTGATTCGTGTATTTAAATGTAATATGCAATATATAAATAAGATAAAAATATATCAAATTAATAAAATTCGTATGGCTCAAACGTGATAAACACAAAATTTGAGAGAATAAAGGACTAAGAGCCGTGACAGGGTGTTAGTGTCTAATTATTTAAAAAATATATCATTTTCTCGCACTTTCTGAACGCAAAGCTAAATTTACAAAAAGGATTGATTCATGTATTTAAATGGCCAATAGACTAGGGTGTAGTCTAATTCGCGTCCACTATTTATACGGTGATTCTTCATGAAAAACTGAGTCAACAAGCTAACCAGCATTGCTCTTTAAACGGACGCATGCTTCGGCGATGTTCCGTCCATTTAAAGAGTGATGCTGCTTGACTAATCTTTATTTAATAATAACTGCTTTGTGAAGCATAATTTGAAAAATTGGCCCGGGAATTTTTGACTCAGTTTTCGTGAGGAATATCACTGTACAAATGGTGGGCGCAAATTAGATTACAACCCGTGTACACGCGCGCACGCACACACAGGGACTACTGAAATATATGAAAACAGTGCGAGGCAGCAATTAAGCTCTTTCAAAATAGTTGCGCCAACAGGGTAGTCTCACGAATCCTTTGAAAAGATAGGTAGACCTTTACGTTTGTCACATGTTACGCATATGTGTAACACGTGACGAAACTTGCCCCAACCGAAATGCTCTTTTTGTGTTTAATGGCCACAAGTTTTCCATTACATTCAAGTTATGGTGCTGTATTGACCCTTCAAATACATTTCCTTTGGTCCACATGTCAAAAGATTATCGTGTTACAGGAGGAAGCCTTTCCACCCTCATTTTTTATAGATTCTTTTAAATTTTTATTTATAATATTAGTAGAGGAAAGTCTCCTCTCTATTATGAAATAGGTTTCTAATATGAGATAGCGAGTTTTCAACACCCAAATTCAACCACAAATCTTTTATCACAACGATTAGACAATCTAACAATGAACTCTTCACTAAGTAAATTGCACTCCGAGGGCAATAAATTCATGATGGAATCAATTGATGATGCCTATTAATTTAACAGAAACCCTCGCTATCCCATATTAGGATCCCATCTCATAATAGGGGACTTTCCTCTGTATCTTTTACAGCATTAACACTAAAAAATCAACTAAGGCCCATATATGATATTGTTCTAATATTTCTATTGTATATTTCAGTTTTTATTGTCTCTAAATTTTTTCCTTTTTTAACCCTTTTTTCCTACCAAACAATTCGTATTTATTCTCTTTCATTTTATATTCTTGTTTCAAAACAAAAAAGATACGTATCTTTTAGCAAAACCAAATTATTTTCGTAGTGATACAATTAAGCAAATTTGCGTCATTGACACCGGATGTGTTTAATAAATTGTGGTACATTTAACTAGAATGTTTCTCCTCTGGCGAGAAGAGTAAAACATATTTAATAGATTCTTTCTGAACGTGTCTCATTTTGTCTCTTTTCTTGTAAGAGAGAAATATCTTTTGAATGTAAAGATGTGGATCTAATTTGGCCAAGTTTTCACACAGTGCGTCTATCAATCTGTAAAACACGTGCTATATGACCTTAGGGTATATTTACGTATTATATACTCATTATGATACCAAGTACTGATATCATTGTTAGTTTGCACTAATCTCTTGAAACCGTCCTGAATAACTCACTGATGTTTCTGACCACGTGCATTCAGATTAGACAATTTTAAAGAAGCGATACTTAGCCGTTGTATAATATTCAGACAATTTTATTGAAACATTTTTATCGAACGATAAAATATGACATTTTTCCTTTTACAATTTCTTATTATTTTACGAGAAATCCATTTATCTGTATTATAAATATGCTTGTATGGCTCTTAAATGTTTTTATGTAATACACATAAAATGTATATTTGTATATAACAAAGGAAAATAAAAGTAACATAAAAGAACAATCAAAAGAGCGGATCTTTCTAACCATAGCTTGAATAATTCACATAAATATGTAACAATAATGTTCATTTCTACCAATGTAGATTAACTTTAATCGCATGGTTTCATTTACTTTTTCTTATCTTTTTCAGTTCTAAAAATTATAAAAAGGTAGAAAGAAATTAAACCGAGATTAAAATTAATCTAAATTGGTAGAAATGGACATAAATAATATGACAACGTTATTAAAAGGTGATAACTTTTCGCTTTTATTTACGTCTGCGTTTGATGTTTCTAAATCAGTATTTTTAAACTACGATTGATAATAAGTTTAAAACATTTAGTAGACTTTGACTAAATGATGTCGAGTTTGTAAGCAAGTGACTATTTATAACTTTTCAATTGAATTTTCTTGAATTTATACCGTCCCATGTAATACAAAATGTGACATTATTAGACGCATCTTGCTATTTAGTTATATGATTGTATTGTATAATGGTTATAATTAAATTCAGTTACAAAGTCTAAATGACAATTATTAATGATTTAAAAAAATCTTTTGAGACAAGCATCAAGAGACAAATGTCCTTTCCACACTCAATCAAAATTAATATTCCATAGGCATGAAAATTCAATTCACTGTTGAATATTTTCCTTCGAATTTAAACACTGGACATAAAAAGACTCCAATTTGTTTTTATTTTAAGTATATATTAATCTCACATAAATGTTAAATTAATATTCCATCTCTCTGCGAATATTTTTAATTTTTAAAAGATTTAGTTACTGCAGTTATTCTGAATTTTTATGCACGGCAAAATTAAATTTATTCTTCTAATTTCTCGTTTTCATTTCAAATATATACTTATCTTGTATATGTTGCTAGACCGACAGTTTATCGGTCAGCGGAAATAGTAATGATCCTCGGCGGTTCTCGCAGTACCACTGAATATCCATTTCTTTTTTATACAGAAATGTTTTTCTGTCCGTCGAGTTATTTGGTACAAAAGATATACGCGCACAGAATAATAAATTTTACGTACACATGGATACTTATACATTTTTTTCACGAGAGAGAACGAAAGGTACAGAGATGATCCAAAAAAGATTCCCTGATATTCAAGAGGACTCTGGCAATTATATTTGTGCCCGTTACACTTTTCGCTGATCCACATTTGTAAGTCGCTCATCTCAGTCGAAACTAAAAATATTAAATATCGATTGTCGTTAAAAACCCGCAGAAATTCTGTCATTTCTTTTAAAAACGGGGTTCACCTGGGCACGATATAAAGAAACTGGGTGAACGCCTATTTCACGAAAATAACTCTAACCAGAATTTAGTTTAATCGCGTTATCGTGAACAGCCGTAAGAGAGTAAATAACGCAGCTACCGAGAGATTATGAAGAAGCAATGAGTGTTCAGATACAGTAATCGCACTATGTGTTATATGCCTCATACGTATTCTTTTCTTTCTTTTACGACTTTCTCAAGTATTGGAAGTAATATTCGATGGTTGCAAAGTCAATTCACGCAGGACAACAATTAGATTATACTTTAGAATCGCAAAATTTCAGTTTATTTTCACAGACACTGCGATCTATGGACACTTCTAGAAGAAACAACTATAATCTAACTTGTGATGTCACACGAGTAAATAGTGAGTGATTGAAACGAAACAGAAAAAGAAGAAAATATGGCAGAGTAAGATGATCACTCGCGAGTCTAAGTAGACAATTTAAAACTAAATTAAATAAATTTAAAACAAAAGGAACTAAAAGTTGTTTCTATGCCGAGACACGGACAGGGAAAATTGTTTCTATGCCAAGGCACATCAATAACTACAAAGATTTTAACACCGAGAATTTCAAAGTTTTGACGTCTTAAGATCGTCGAAATATCTGCTAGAACTTAGTCTTTCAATCAGTTTTAATACAATTTTATTTTAGTGAAAATTTAATTATTTAGTTTTAATAAATGGAAACTTGCGATAAATAATGGTCTTCAATTAAATTATTATTAATGGAGAGCCGATGCTAAATTAATTACATCCAATTTACGGTTTGAACGCCATTCGTTTGGTACACATTCTGGTACATGGTATTAAATCGAAATAATTAATTCATTATTTGCCATTTGCGTAATTCAGATGGTAACACACTTATGTTATACGCAATCTACTGTAATAACTTTTCATCTGCTTACACACAATAAAACATACATGATTTCAGTACGAGTGAAGGATATAATGTACGATAAAGATTATAAAAGTGTAACGTTGAAGACAAAATACATTTCATCGAAGCCTCGCGCCTTTCTATTCGACTTTTCAGAGTGCTTAGTTAAGAGAAATGCTATCTCTCTGACAGTGAACTCTCTTGATCTCCGTCGATCTTTATCGATTCACGTACGACTCTTTTCGCACGATGGTCGTCAGTGCGAACACGAATAATATTCATACGAGATGGCACAAGTGCATCGACAGCGAAGACCCAACGGCTCAAATAGAGCTCGTTTCTTTTTTCCTCCCCGGATCAACGGTCACCGTGTTATCGGGCTTAAATTATCCGACAAACTTG